TATAATATCCGGTGTGTAGTAAGTCTTCATTAATATTGCCTACTATTATTGCTTAAATGCATCAAATTGCTCTTAGTTTTAAATTCTGAATAATGGGCTTAGGTATCCATCGGCTCATTTGGATTAAGCTTTACTCAATAAACACTATTATTCATTACTTAAGCATGTGCTTCAAGATGCACCAAGCTAGTAACTATTAAAAAATTAAATTCTTTAAGACTTTAAATGAAACAGAATTGTAGCTCAAGTAAGGAATCAAAGGCAACATAGTGATTTAAAATTAAATTAACTAGAAAAGGACTTCATTTCTGAGGACCACTAATTTGCAAGAATTTAGAAATTGATACCAATTCTCTACATAGGAATGCCGGAGTCTTTTTGACAGAACTTGTTTCCCTAACAAGTGACTGTGTTTGTTGGTATCTTAAGGAAACAAAGATAAAGTCATTACAATATAAAAATTTATTGCAAGTAATACATAACAATGAAAAGAGCATTCAGTTTGACCTCAGTTTGAGTTGCAATTTGCTTCTTAATAGCTGTGTGAAATAGCTCAGTTTCTTCCACCTACCTCCCAGTTTCATAATAACCAAATAAAATACATACAAAGCCTGACACAAAGTTACACTCAATGTATTAATTCACTTCCCTATGTTAACTAAGGCGGTAGCAGCTCCCAGAACAGACTACTTTTACACATAGCCAAGAAAAAGAAACAGGCAACATGTCCACATGGAAAACACCTTGGCTTTATTTGGTGCTTCTATTAAACAGTCTTATCTCCTGAGCGGCTACCATAAAGTTCCAGGGAAAAGTCTAGGACTTAAATCTATGTTCCCAAAGGCTACCACATTTTTTCTGATAAAAAGAAAATGTAATAAACGCTGGCTAACCTGAATTGTATTTATCTGCTTCAACTCTAATCCTAATCCCTTGTTAAATACTCAGCAGTTCTTTGCACATGCCAAGCACTCAAAAAATATTAAAAAGAATTTATGATTGCCTTGGAATGAAATAAGAAAGTATATACAAATACATGTAATCTAATTATAATTTTTATGGTTTACTAAAAAGCAAAGTAATTAGGATTAAAAGAATACTACATTTAACATTCATGCAATTCTTATAAGCTAATGGCTATTCATGAAGAAAATAAGCTGTTTTGAGAATCTATAGCAAATTATTTTTAAATTAAGCAATTAGTGCTTCAGTTTTTCCAGTGTAGGTGTCTATACAAAGAGAATCTTAAGACATATCAGAACATTCTGAACTACTTAAGCTTTTTCACTGAAATAAACCACTTCCTTTCAAAAGCCCACATAATTTTAAAGCAGAAAGCCACTTAATTCTGAAGTTTTCTGTACAAGTACAAAATTCTTCTAACTGTGTGAATAAAATTACTAAGTAATAGAAAAATTAATGAAAAAATTTTCAAAGAAAAATACATTTAAAAAGGGACATAAAAAATTAGTTAAATATGCCTATTTTAAACTCCCTACATAAAAGGATTAGAGCAAAATAAAATATATAGTTTAAGGATATTACTGAAAAGTTCATGCAGATTTAGAAGTGTTCATAAGATCTCATATTAATAATTTTTCTTTGTAACACAGACTTTTCAAATTAATCAGTCTTTATTTCCAGGATAAGGATAAAGTTTCATAATACATTTGACCTGAGAAGGGAGAAAAAAAGAGGTTACATCTCCTTCTAAAAATCTAACATCATTATTACTCCTATTTAGTTACTTGGGTAATGTCAAAGAAAGAGGCAATACAGCACAATAAACAAGTAGAAAAAAAAATGATCATGTTCCAGTTGTTTATCGCTCTGCTTTATCTTTTTTTTTTTAATTTCCTGTACCTTCTCTAGGGAACAAACTGCCATTAAGACTCAAGAACAGGATAATCATGATCTGAGTACAAGTTATATTTACAGATATTCAAATAGCAGTATATAGATACACTATATGAAATTTGTTTAATAGACTATTAATACTACAAAACTAGCAAAACAATGCTAATAACTATATCCTCATTATGTAAAATTAGGCTTTATTTTGTAAATGAAAACTTCACTTGAAGAGAAAACTAGATTAAATTCAAAGGGAAAGGAAAATGATGCATAACAGGTTTCTAAACAGTATGAGCAAACCAATACTACTTAAGACAAATCTTATCAAAAGGAGAAGCTGAACTGCCCAGTATTTCTCCAAAGCCTCTAATACTTTTAAGCAACTTTCTTAATAATCTGATTAATATAAACATTTATTGGCTACTTTATTTGTGAGGCAATGGAAACAGCAATTTTAAGAACCACATAAAATGTTAAATTTAAATTACACGATTCCTTTTCCATATTTGTAAACCAACTATTTTTTTCTTTTCAAAAGTAACGCATACTTTTTTTTAATCAACTATTTTTCCTAAAAGTGTCAAAATAAACCCAATGTTAGAAAAAGCCTCAACAGCAATCAAAAGAATTAAGCCTTATTTCAGACAGTAATATCCATTTTGTTGAAAACTATTTCTCTTTCAAGTTGGCTGACTGATTACAAAATTTTAAACCATGAATTAGATTTCTCTGCCAAGAACTTTCCTCCCAAACAATAATACTATAGGTATTTCAATTTATGGATTTTTTTTTGTGGGGGAAAAAAAAACCCAAGAGTAACTTGTTACTAAGTTTTATAATTTTGGGAGTATATTTCCCCTCGCTAGGCAAAGAAAATACCATCAGAAAATAAAGATTGTCTCATAATTTTACTCCGTAAATAAAGACTTTTTAGCAGTCCAACCATATAAATGTATAACAAAATTATATGATAACCCATTCTAAGGTTATTTGTATTTGCCAGTGGTTGCTTTCAATATTATATATGTTAATAAAATAAACTAAAATGTTACCTAAGTTAAAGAGATACATAAACATTTAATACATTATTTTAGAAATTAAAGAGTTCCAACTTATTACCATGATAAAACACTTTCATATAGATATTAAGTTCCCATTCCAAATTCTAAAAATACAAAAATATTGAAAAATTCTCCAACTTAAGTACACTAAAAGAAGTTTTCTCCTAGACTGTTCAGTGGTATGTCATTATAAAGTCAGGTCAATATGGACAGTGGAATCATTATATCTAAGCATCTAAACCTTTGGAACAAGGTCTGCCATACCACATACCCAGGAAGAAATTATTCACAAGCGTCTAAACTCAAACTAGTTTCACAGCTGATGGGGGCATTTAATCTAATCAAGTGCTGTTGGAAACATATATCCAGTTAAAGAGACAAAATAAAGATGTTTCTATCCCACTTCCCCCCCCCCAAAAATATACACACACAACACAGAAAGAGGATAAAAGAAAAGATGACAAAAACAACAGGAGAAAAAGTTAAAAAGTAGACCAACTGAGCTCACAAGAAATATACATTAGGGGAAAAAAAAAACCTCTTACAGAAATAAAAGCCACAGTGGAAGCAAATGGGGTCAGCTAGCAACATACAATAATAGAAAACAGTACTGCAATGTCTACAAAGCTTTCCAGGAAAGAAAGAGGACAAGGACTATCATTTATAATGCAGGTATAGATCACAGAATCATTTTCGTATATTCAGCAGTTTGGGAAATATTTCAAACATCTGTATTTTGGGGGGGGAGGGGAAGGTGAGAGGTAGAAAAGATGGCAAAGTCAAACAAGAGATAAACAGAGGCCTAATCATGAAACCAAGCAATTTTAAGATAACTATGGCTGGTTTAAAATAAAGGAAATTTTGAGTACAGAATCTAAGGAAAATACTATATAAATCTTGGCAACAAAAAAATAATATGACTAAAAATATCAGGAGATAAAGGGCAAGAAGAGGTCAAGTATGAAAAAATATAACTGATGAGTTCAACTTTTAAAGCCAAGACTTATTAAAAAACAGTTTAAAGATAATAATTCAATTAATAGGAATTTAAATATATCATAAAAGGTATAAAAATACTTTCCCTAAGAACTTAAAATATTAACCAAAATTATGAGAAATAAAGAGGAGGTGAAGTATAAGTATGTTAATTTCTTCATCTTTCATAATGAGATCAACACATACATACTGTTTAAAGTTGGTAAATTTTTTTAAATGGTAATGTTATTATATTATAAAGATGAACTATAACATTTCCAAGTTATCAAAGGGTATATACAAAGTCAAAATAAGCACAGGCCATATATCAAAATACATCAATATAAAAGACAACAGGATATTTTTTAAGTGACAGAAGGTATTATATCTATTCTATCAACGCCATAAGTGGGAAATAATTATTTGTCCCTAACAAATCCAATTATACACAAATACAGAAAACAAAACAAAACCAAAGTGACTCAAAACACAAGCAAAAGAATGGGCAAATAAAACTTAGCATGAAATCTATAAGTAATAAGACATATTTTAACTTACCTCCCTGCCTATTGCCAATCAAGGAAACAGAAGTTAATTAAGAATACTGAACTCGATGAAAATTTGAAAAGGAACAGAAATATATCATAAGTTGTATTCTTCAGATGAAATTCATATCCTTGACATGTACCTATGAAATCATCATAAAACTACATTGGACCACAAAGGAAAACTCAATAAACTTCAAAAAGTAAAAGGCACAGACCACATTCTCTGATAACAATACAATGAAACCAGTAATCATAATGAAAACAGCAAACAAAAATCCCACAACAACCTGGGATTTTTTTTTTTTAACTTAGATTCTTGGCTTAAAAAGGAAATCAAAATTAAATTGCAGAATATCCAGAAAATAACAGTCACTCTAACAGAATCCAGAAAAAAATAACCTAAAAAAGCCCACATGTCACAGTAAATATAGTATTCATAAGAAAAATAAAAACTACAGAGACAAAAGTTAAGTAAGAGAGAATGGGAACAACACACATCAACTTCAAGGCAGTGAGGAGGAATGAGGGAAGGGTAGAGCTTGGATTCCCATCTAACAATTTATTTCTTAGAACAGAGAGAGAGATCTGAAGTATGTGTGGTAAAATGTTACCTTCTGTTGAAACTAAATGGTGGGTTCATGAATGTCATTTTCTGTTTGAAATTTCATAAATTAATATTAATTTTTAATGTATTTAAATTAAATGTTCACTTAGAAAGGAAGAAAATTAAAAACAGAAAAGAGATTAGGTCATAACTCATAAACCAACAAATTAAAATCAGTAGGACCAATTATCAATCTAGGAGCCCATCTTTTGGGGAAGAAAAATAAATTATAAGATAAAAAAAAAGGGGAAGAAGCTGACAGAGGGGAAAAGTAGAGAAGAGAAAACAATATTTAAAATAATGGAGATTTAACTACAGCACAGAAGAATTTAAATTAAGACAATGTTTGCTACAATGCTAAACAAATACATTTGTCAACCTGGACAAAATGGATAATTTTCTCAGAAAATTAAAACTTCCAAACTGTCCTTATAATATTAAGAAAGACAATTCCTATCATGAAACCAATAATTTTAATGGTCTTCAAATTATTTAAGGATAAAGAAAAGCTTTGTAAGTTCTCTATAAAACCATCACAAGAAAAACCAAAAGCTGACAAAGAACATATACATACAATTGTGAATCAATTTTATGAATAGATAGAACAATTTTATATAAAATATTATCAAATAAAATCTATTCCATTAAAAGAATAATCCACCATGACCAATTAGGAATGTTCCAATATTACAAGACTAGATCAATACCAGAAAGTCTACTAAAATAATGTAATAATCTATTTAAATAATCTGTTTTCTCCAAAAACATCCCAATAACAGTCAGAACTGGGTTTTTTCCAGTAATCTGACAAGCTGTTTCTAAAGCTCCTGTGGAAAAAACAGCCACGTGAGATAACTCAGGAAAACTATGAAAAAGGAAAGGAAAAAAACCAAGACAGCCTACAGAATATTAAAAAACTGACAGTAATAAAAAGCTGCAGTAATTAAAAACTTGATAATGGCATAGAACAACACAAAGAAACGGAATTGTAGAGTCCCAAAGTAGGTAAGACAACGGGAGAGAGAAGAATTTAGTGTATGTCACAGATGGCATTTCAAATCAGATTAAAAAGAAAAAGGATCTGTAAGGCAACAAAAGTAACTATAACAAATCCAGCTATTGGAAAGAGAAAAGATATTGGTAGAAAAATCTTACCTTACCCCCTTAATAGCAGCTGGACCAAACACTTAAATGTAAAAAAAACAAAACAAAAACAAAAACCTGTCCAACGTATTAGAAGAAACAAACAATTTTTTAAAAATTATCTATTATCTTGTAGTAGAGCAGAACTTTCAAACAAAAGCCCATGAAAGAAAAGATTAATACATTTGAATATGATAAAATAATTTGTCTTCTAAAAATGACAAACTGAGAATTAGAAAAAGTAGTTTCCATGCATATAATGATTTTCTCAGAATTTAAATATAAAAATTAAATATATTAAATACACACACACACACACACACATATATATATTCCTAGAAGCCATTATGAAAGACAGCTAGCAGAAAAATGGGTAAAGATGAGGAACCGGTAGTTCCAAGAAAAAGAAACATATATAGATTTAAATATATGACAAAGTAGTCAGCCTAACTCATTAAAGACATATAAATAAGTGAAAAAATATTTTCCAATTATCAGGTTGGCATAATACCAAAAAGAGTAATAACCCTATCTGTGAGAATTTAAATAGAAACACTCATAAACTTGTGGGAAGGAAATTAGCAGAACCTCTATTAAGGACAATAACACAGTATCTATCAAAAAATTTAAGTTTATACTTATTGGCCTAGAAATTCAATTTCTAGAAATGCAGGATGCTCACTTTGTCATTAGTGGTAACAACTTAAAATGTTTATCAACAGGGGCTTTTAATGTATATATTAGGAAATTCTACACAGCTGTTAAACAGAATGAGATTAATCTCTATATGCTGGTAAGCAAAGACATATAATATACTTTGCTAAGTGATACACATATTGCAGTGTTATAGTATCCTCCCATTTGGGTAGAGGTACTTTATACACACACATACACACACACACACACTTGACATGTGTAACATGCAAGCAATGTTTTCAGAAGAATATAAAAAAACTTTTTTTTTCACAGATTTGTTTCACAGCTTCCTCTAGGGAACAAGATATGGGACTGTATTAAAGAGTGAGACTCACTTTTTACTTTAAATCCTTTCCTACACTTATGTGGCAGATACGTTCTAAGCTGGGGCATATAAGCATATGAACATATAAAAACCCTACATTCATAGAAACTGCATGAGGAGAGAGTGTGAGGAGCGATGGGGAGATAATAAAAACTGTATACACATACAATGTCAAATATGTAAGGGTTATTAGGAATAAAAAAGAGTAATAAGGGAAAGGGACTATATGTATGGGTGTGTGAGGGGATAGTTATGATTTTACATGGGGTAGCAATAAAAGGAATGCAGTGAACTATGGGTCCAGATGAAGGTTCCCCTATTCCAGGATTAGGAGTAAAGTGATACACAAACTACAACCTCAAGAGCTAATTGCCAGAAGGAGAAACAGAGGGCGAAGAGCAAAGCACTATGGAAGCAGAGGAAACTCAGGTAGGTGTTCTTGGGTGGATTTAGATAGGGGGTTACACAAACAGAAACCAGTTGATGAAAGGTCTTATAAAATAAAGGGTTTATAAAAGGGAACAGAAAATTATTAGAGCTATATTCTGGAAAAGTTACTCTGGCTGTATTATAGAAAGTGTTCTGGGGAAAATAAACTGAGAAGTAAAGAAGCTAGTTAAATATTTTAATAATTCCACCCAAAGCTAATGGACTTTAAGAGAAAAAGTAACAATAAGAATGGAGAGTAGTGGGTCGAAAAATGTACAGTCAATCCTCATTTGAAGATTCCACCTTTGTGAATTCAACTACTTGCTAAAATTTATTTGTAACCCCAAAACTATTAGTTGCAGAACTTTTGCAGTCTCCTGAGGACAGGTGCAGAGCAGCAAAGTATTTGAGTCGCCCAGCATGCCTGTTTCCAGTTAAGGCTGAACAAGGTGATGCCTTCTTGTTTCAGCTCTCATACTGTAAACAAGTATCCTTTTCATGATCTAATCTTCACTGCCACATTTTTCACATTGTGATTTTTAGTTGGTAATTTTGCTGTTTAAAATGGTCCCCAAGAGTAGTCTGAAGCACTGTCTAGTGTTCCTAAGCACAAGGCAGCTGCAATATGCCTTACAAATAAAAGATACATGTTCGATAACCTTTGTTCAGGCATTAAGTTATAGTGCTACTGGCCATGAGTTTAATGTCAGTGAATCAATAACATATAAATAATCTATATTAAATAAAGTTTCTTTAAACAGATACATAAAACAAGGTTATGTATTGACTGGTTGACCAAAAATGTGACCAGAGGATCACAGAAACCTAACCCTGTATTTCCTGTAGAAGCAATGGTTCAATATTCACTAAGTCAATGTTTGCACATTTTGTTCAATGTTCACTAATTTATGACTTTATAAAACACAACTACCACAAATAACAATCAACTGTATATGTACACACATATATTTACTTATTTGTAAAGCAGAAGTAATAGGACTGGTAATCAATTATAAGTAAACGAGGGAGAGCAATCAAGGACGATGCTATCTAAGTTTCTGGCTTAAGCAACTGGAAGATGGCGATACTACTAATAAAGACAGGAAACAGAGGGCAATGGCAGCTTGGATCAGGAAGACAAAGATGTCAACCTCAGAGAGCGTTATGCACAGTATAATAAATATAATTATGTGTTTAAGTACTCATTTTCCCCTCCCATTTGAGAACTACATCTTTGTTCATCTTGGGATACATTCTATAACTAAAATGATGCTTTCCTTTAAGTCACGTAATATAAACCAGGCATGTCAACATCAGAAATGTACAATTTATCAATTTTTTTACCTTTCACTGTCATCTTTGCAATCACATTACCCAAAATCACCATAACCTATACTCTGATAGTGTTTCTATGTGAGCTCTAAAAAGTAAAAATATAAAATTCTACCTTTTGGAAAACAAGAATTCTAAATGACAACTAAGTTCAAAGAAATTCTTCACAACCAGGTAGTTTGTTTTTCAATTTGTTTACAGAAACCTTCAGTATAAATTATTAAAATACCATTCTGAAATACCAAGTTTATGTAAAAACTCCTAATGGATAAATTGTGTTTTCATACTTGATTTAAGAAAACTTCAGAATTATAATTTATTTCAACGTAGCTTTTACAAAAATGCATATATACAATCAAAATGTGACAAGTTTTTTATACCTTGAAAATTAAAGTTATAATATACAACTGCATACACTGAGCCTTATGTAATAGTAAAGTAGTCATATCAATCCCTCCCTGTCCAGTCTGTATTACCTTTGTTTATACAGGTAATAGAAAACAATTTCTAGGCTGCTATAAATCTGATTTTACAAGCAAATATATACTTGTGTGAACACAAAACAGAAAACTTGATACACAGTTCTTCCTCAATATATGACTGTATACTTGTTTATTTGCAATGGTCCACATATAGAAAAGCACTGGACTAATTTTATTCTTGGTGTGACAATTAGTTGCACGACCTCCCGCTGACTACTAAAAATTAAATATAATACATTGGGAATGGTATTACTGTTAATATGAGAAGAAAACAGGTGAAAGAAAAGCTTAAGAAAGGAAGATTCAAAGCTAAAGGGAGGAAAAAGGGTTAGAATACCAGTTCAGTAGATTGGGAACATGAAAAAGATAGAACAATTAAGAAAGAAAAGCTAAGCAAAGTGCTCTGCACAAAACTGAAACCCTGGTTCTTGACAATTAATGGTAACAAGAACCATAACCAAAAAAACCAACCAAAGACTTGAGAATGCAAGAGGGAAAAAGATCTATGAACATCAGCTCTTTTAAAAATTTTAAAAAGTGAAGAGTAAAAATGGTCATTTTAAATGTCTTTCACATTTATATCATTTAGAATATAATCACATTATTTTAATTCCTAAAGTAAACTACTAATGCATTTGATCATAACACAAGTAAAAATGGCATTGCACTTCAAAACTGATATTTGAACTGGAAGCTAAACCAAAAACACTTAGCCTACCTGAGCTACCAAGACAGCAGTCAGTCAATAAACAGCAGCTGGTACAGAATATACACTTAGTGCAAGCAACAGTCATCACTAGGGATGTATCCACGAACGAGCAAGCACCTGTCTCTTTACCGAGGGCCAATGGCCAAGGGTAGAAGGGGCAGTGGGTCTTCTTGGTTCCACTCTCTGAATCTCAGAGACTGTGACACTTCCTTAGTCAACAGGGCAAGTGCACGTCAGGTACAGACCTGACAGACCAGTGGCCATGACAACAAAAATAGGGAGAGCTATTTAAAAATTGTTACCTTCCCTATCACCCTGCAATATAGAATTCTTCCCCCTAAAAAAACAAAATTTTCTAAATGGTAGTTACAATCCTCATCAGCCAACAAAGGGAGATACAGTTCATGCTACAAAACCTACTATATGGCTTAAAAAGTAGTGTATTTCCACTTGAAAATTAGTTATAAAAGAAAATAAAATAACAGTAACACTGTTCAACTTCAATATGGGTTAAATAGTGTTTAAGAACCACCTGTGTAGCATTTAATCCATCAGGAATTGACAGTTCCAAACAAACACTTAGAATACAATTTGCTTCCAAATTGGAGACTGCCTACCATTTATAAATCCAGCTGATGAGTCATAGACTAATAGTTCAAAATTACTAAAATGTTTAATTAAGGTTCAAGACTAGAAAAAGAAAATCAGCAGCTGGGGTGGGTAATTCAAACTTTAAAATCAATCATAAAATATAACCTGTAATTTATATGATCTAAGCATCAGTATGATATGCACTGAAATATCCCATTAAAAACAAGAACTGAAGACATCATAAAAAGTGTTTGGTCAAGAACAATGAAGCCATAAGGCTGGCATAAACTTTTCCACCAAAACATTGGATATAAAAAAATCACATATAGCTAAAAATACTGGAATGTCATCCTGAAAATAAACATACAAGAAATACAAAAAAAAAATTATCAAATTCATAGTGAAGTAGCTGTCAGAGAAAAATATTTCTTTACTGGGAAAATATAGCTATTTTATTTTTATTAAGAAATAACATTTTATATATTTTTTTCTGCAAGAAATACTAATAATATTATAGCAGCATCTTCTTATGCAAAAGACCTAATTCCTAATTAGCAATTTTCTTTAGTATTTCTAATTACTAAAAATACAAATTAAAAATTCAAGTTGGCTGGATATTATTCTTAGCATTAGTAATTCCTATCATTCTATTGATTTCTTTAAGGCAGTGATTCTCAAGTAGAAGTGACCCATCAGAATCAACTGGGGACCAATATGAAAATACACACTCCCAAGTGTCATCCCTCAGAGATTGAGTCACCATGTCTGGAGTGAAGCCGCAGTATCTGTATTTTGAAAAAAACTCCCCCAGTGATTCTGGCTGCCAGTTGAGGATGACTGCTTTAAGGGCTGAATTACCTATTTGTTCTACTGACTAAAAGATTTATTTGGTCTGCCATTGCTGAAACTGTGTCATTATAGTATGTACAAGCCATCAGCAGCAAAGAGCAAAAACTCTACATTTCATTACTTATAGTAAAAAAGTTAAAGAGCTCTGATAAGATTATCTATTCAAAGAACATGCAACCATACTTGAAAAGGCTTTCTGTATATTTATTTTAACGTGTGCATTTAGGACAAATGGTTTTGAAAATGTATAAAAATAATTTATGTATTAATCCATCTTCAATATGTACATGGCCCCTTAAAAGGATTTTCATTTTATTATCATGAAAAATGTATTTCAACAACCTCCACAGTATTATTAAAAGTCAGGAATTGTAAGATTTTCTAGTAGAAAAGTCTTAGTATTCACCTGCAGAAAATAATGAAATTGGAATGATATCATTAATATTTTAAAATATAATACTGTCTCAGCGATGCTATGCTACATATAAGAAAAATCTTCATCACTAAACTATAATAATCCCAAGTGGTAGCATTCTCACTTGAGAACAAAGCACAAAAATATTTTATAAAAGAAAACATCTCATTGTAAAAACTTGTAAAATTGAATGCTTTAAACAAAAATAGCTGAGGCTTGATTTCACAACATCAAATTTCCATATGTACTTGGTAAACATACACTCAATAGGCTATCAACTTAAAGCCAGTTATCACTAAAGAAGATTGTTAAAAAAAATTCAGTGCAAAAATATGTATCAACTAAAGCTATCAACTGATGTTAAGACAATTTTAATATAAAAATCACAAATTAAATCCCATAATATAAAGCAATGCTATAAAGATGTCAAATTAATTTAAAAGAAAGAGCTCTACAAAAGTTATCAAGTTTTCCTTTTGTTACTATTCTCTAGTAAAAGCTTTCTTTTGATTAGCTTTTACAATGTCATCAGGAGATGCTGATTTGAAATCAAATGGTGTTATTGCTATAAGAGGACTTATTTCTTTGTCCTTTACGTCTTGAACTTGTCTGCTATAAAGAAAACTCTTATAGAGGTCAAGGGTGCGTCGTTTGCAGCTTTTCAATGGGTAACGAAGACACAGTGTTGAAGCAAAAGCTGAAGGTCGGGCAGCAAGAGCCTTGGTCCAAGAGAGAGAAAAAGGTGGTTTCCTAGTCAGAGAGCCTTTACTGTTTTTCTTATTATCCTTAGCAGAATTGGAATCTTTCCCTAACCTTGAACTTAGAACTTTAGTTCCTGATGTTGGAGCAACAGATTGGTCTACTACAGATCTTGGAACATTATCTGGGGCTTTTATGAGGACACTGAGATCTATATTCGAATCTATTTCAGGTGCCCTCACTTCAGATAAACTGAGCGGACAGGACTCTTTCTTAATCTTAGAGTTGTCTACATCAATTGTTTCTGCAATCAAATCAGAAAGTGACAAATTCTCAAGGTCTCTTGTCGGAGAAGCTTTACGAAATGCCAAGGATGACAGAGAGCCTGTTAATTCTGATATTCCAGCTGAAGACTGATACCGATTTGCTAGTTGTGACAAGGGGAAGGATCCCAAACTCAGATCTGTGAAACTGGCAGATGGCTGGTTACAAAGATCAGATAAAGTAAAGCATTCGCTTGGATTGTTTTCTTTGTGCTCCTGAAACAGTTCAGCTAAAGATGAACTTTCACACTGGGAAAACTGCAAGTTGTCATTTCTTAATATGCAATTCTTGGCACTCTGTTCAACTGAAGAAACACTTCCAACTTCAGCCATTTTACTAGCATTTAAATCATCAACAGCCATATTTTCCGAAGAGCTAGTTAAGAGCAAAGGATTATTTAAACTTTCAAAGCTGTTTTGTACTGGAATATTTTGCAAATCAGGTACTGAATTATTTTGAATAAATAGATAGTTATTAGGTGTTGTATTTTTTATCATTAAGGATTTTAAATCTGGTATTTCTTTGAACGCAGAATCATCTTTAGCAATACATTCAGATGCATGAGGTCTAAACAAATCAGCATCTATACTCTTTGAAGGTGGACTCTCCAGACTATCTGTGGATGATAATCTGACTGATGGCTGACTTTTCCAAGAATCTCTTGGCATATAATCAATTAGGTCAGCTAGTGACAGCTCTTTTGTTAACTTACATGATTCTAGCTTCTTTTCACTTTTAGGTCTGTCAAGTTTTTTTTTATGAAGTAAATAGCGACTTGGTACAATGGAGGAACTATGACATAATCCATATTTTGCTCCTGGGGCAGAAAAATCAAAGGATTTGCTACTGCAATCCAGATGGTTTGCAGATTGAGGACAAGAGTTTTGAGCATTATCAGCTGAAACTTCAGAGGAAGATAATAAGACTCCTTACCTTACAAGAGCCATTAATTTTCAGATGAATAGGTTGACATATGCAGAAGACAGTCACAGCAACCAAAAAGAAACATGAAATGAGGCATTTAATTACTAAATGTTTCTTTTGATTATGACATGAATAAAGTGATACTTAATTATTTAATAAAAAGTAAATATTCTAAAAAACAAAAATAAAGGATTTTACCTTCCTTTAACCATCTTAAGTGACCTTCATACTTTGTTCACTGATATATACAAAGGTAATTACCAAGTTAGTCAATGTTCTAATTTTCACAGATTTTATAATGTAAGGTTTTAAGATACTTAAATTATAGTCAGGATTGTCTCAAATTCAAAACATCTAAAAAAACCAATGGAAAGAGTAAAGTTCGTCTTCTGTATTTTTTATGTATTAAAAACAAGCAAACAAATATACCCTATAATTTCCACTGTGAAGTGGGATAAACTATTAATATAGATGACATATTACAGACTCATTCTCATGTTACTGGTCAGTGAAAAGTGCATCTTGCCCCAATCCAAAATAAATTTTTTTTAATTTAAATAAAAATGACCCCTATTTCATAGTAACAGACTACATACAATTTGGTTGTGGCAAAAATCTAGTCTTCAGGTTCTAAGAAATATCAACCCAGGTAACAAATCACCACACTCCTACTGACAAATATCATATCAATGAATATAAGTGGTTCCCTTCTCATGTGGACTAAATTCCAAATTTAACCCCAAATTCTAAAAATTTAAAATGAAGGATCTGTCTATGAAACAGAAGCATGGTAGAATTATGATACCTTACGATATTTAAATAAAATTAAATTATATTTTATTAAATGCTAAAAGCATAAAGGGATTTTCTAACATTGTCTGACTATTACTTCCATCTCCTGACCCATTAGAGTTAAAAAAAAAACAACAGCAATAATTAAAAAGATCTGTAAGATACTAACAAGAAGCAAAAAGTGTTTTGTCTTATTTTTATCTACTTTTATTTCCTTTATATTCCATTAGTTACAAAAACAAGCAGGGAAATTACCAAAAAGCAGGCTTTAGTACAGTGAAGGGAACATAGCACTCAGCTTAAAAATTCATAAATTGGAAAATTAATTCATCATAATCAAGAATTATTATAACATACAAAATTTTCTGCCCATTTTTTTAACAGCTCAAGCAAATCAAAGCCTCTTTAAAGTATTAACTGTAAAACAGCTAAAAGAGAACAAGTAAAAGCATACCTTTTGCTATCTTTCTTGTAGATACTGCTTCTTCACTCCTGACTTTCAAATTCTGCATTTTATCTTGCTCCAGAACCACTGACAAAGCCTTCTGCACATCAAACTTGTTCCTCAGAACTGCTTCAATCAATGTGTCATCTGGCACAGCATCTCCAAGTACCTCTCTCATGTGATCAAGGCATGAATAGAGACGAGCTAGAACAGACAACAATAATTAAAAGCTGTACTAACTGGTGTCATGAAAGAAACTTCAATCTTCAAAACTGAAAAAAGCATGTGAAATAGTAGGATGTTCAACTCTTGTTTTTCTTTGGCAAAATTTACAATGATTCTATTCTTAACCACAATATACCTACCTCCCCTTATCAGAGGAACAATTTCAATAATTAAAAAATCACTGTAATAAATGTCTCCAAAGTACTACTGACTAATGTTTGAAAAAAGTATAAACTGCATATAGAAATAACTGCTTCAGTCAATGATAGTGATGTCTGTACTGGTTATTTTTCATATGTATAGAAAGGTAGCATTCATTATGAAAATATTTCTAACTTGTTAGTGAAACGTACTTCTTAAATTTCCTGCATTACTACCTTAAATTTTCTTTTAAGCTAACTTTAGTTTTTCCTAGCCAAATAAAATCATCCTCAACAATGTTTTAAAAATAGGCAAGATAACTTGTATAAAAATGCCATAAAAATAAGGAAGTTCAGTAGATTAAGAGAATGGACATTCATTTTAAAAATAAAAAATTTAAATCTGAAAGTCCAAAATTTTTAATGATTATTTTCTGATGACTATATTATTATAAAAAGCAATTACTAATAATAATCATTAATGATGAGAGCAAAGGCTTTATATTCCTAGATCCTAAAATGGTACCTGGTACCTAGAGGCCACTGAATAAAAATAGATGAATATATTAATTTATATTTGAATAGCACTTGACAATTTTCAAAATACTTTATATATATACATATATATAAAAATAACTTTTGTAATCCTTTTAATAACTCTATGATAGATATATCAGGCAAATTCTAATTCATAAAGATAAGATGACTGAAAATAATGGTACTATGAAATTAGCAATAATTAAAACAGAACTCAGATTTTCAGACTCCTTACTCTATGAAACCAGTTCACAGAATGCACTTTACATGACATTTTACATGCTTACATATTGAACATGAAATCTACTGGCAATATCCTTTTCTTTTTTTTAAGTATTTAATACCCTTTCCATTGCTCCCTTTAAAATTATTAAATATAAATTCCTCAAATATTGGGCAATTCTGTTTTACCTGAGTCCAAGATTAATTTTCAGCTAACAAGCTAAACCTGGAAAATTACACTTCTTTCATAAATACATGAATTACTAAATATGCAAAAGAATATTTCATATAGCTAGAGTAGGGCCTCTTCTAATTAATTACAGCAACTGTTGTTTACACATACACAAAGAGTAGAGATATGCAGTCAAACTGTCTTGGTTCATATCCTAATGCTACTTACTAGCTGGTACAACTTTAGCCAAGTTACTTCTCTGTGTCTCATTTTCCTCCCATGCAAAGTGAGGACAACAGCTGGCCTACCTCATAAGGTTGTTACGAAGATTAAATATGTTAATACTTGAAATGGCACTTCGAACAATACTTGGAAAGCAGTTAGCAGCGGTTAGTTACGATCATTATTATTATTACCATGCAATTACTTACATATGTCAAGTGGGAAAGATTAAGTTTTATTCTCAAACACTATCTTTGAATTTCATACCTCCTTAATCATTCTAAAGCATAAAAGTATGACTTCTACTCTATTCTGCCCTCTAACACCACAAGGACAACTGTAACACATTTTTTTAAAAATACTAAGACTACTAAGTGTATACAGCAACTCCTCTACAAACTTTTATCCAGATTGTCAAATGTATTCACAGAACTGATAAAGAATTTTTTTTATTCTCTGTTGTTTTCCTTTCTGCTTTCTAATTTTATGTATCTGTGCTTTCTCTCCATTTTTCTTATTTAATTAGTGGCTGATACATATTTTACCTATTTATCCAAAGATCAGCTCCCAGATTCATACATTTCTTCTGTTTCCAAATTGTCATAAATTTTCAATTTAAAAACATCTACAAAACAAAGCCACACTCTATAGAAAGAGCAAATCAGTTCAGCCCTGCTCACTACCAACAGATGGCATTACTGTTGTATCAGGCAATTCTAGTTCTACTACATTGTTTATCAACCTATGGCTTGACTACTATGTTTGAAACAATGTCATACCTGGAATTTATTTATAAAAGAGGAAAGCCAAAATACAAAACATCTTTTTTAAAATGTTTAAGAGAACCAAAAAGAAGCAAATTCAGGAACAATATCATTATCATTTACGAGTTCTATCTTGAAATTTAATTTTCAAGGCTACGACCAATCAGAACACTTGTACAGTGTTACTCTGGATTTAAAAAGACTTTTTTTTTTTTAACTAAAACCAGACTTTTGGGACCTAACACTTTGCAAGGAAATGAGCTTCTGTAATCTATCCATAAGCTCTACACAGAGCTTATGAAACAATAAATATTGCTAAAAGAAAACACGTCACTTAAGTTTCTCTCCTAAGAAGAGTCCAATCAAAAATCTGTTACTAAATAACAGCTACATGATCAGTTTTTCAACCATACAATTAACCATACACTTTTCAAAAAATATAATTAATAAGATGTAAATTTTCCTTGAAGATATAAGATATATGTTCTAAACCATAACTACCCAATCATTATTATGAACAATCACAATAAAACTGGTAAATTTCAATAAATTGATTAATCATTTTCAGATAAAACACAGACTATTTTTTTTTTTACTATACCTTGATCAATTTCACTTAGCTGATGGTTCAAAAGAGAATTGGAGGATGTTTTCAAGTCTTCATAATCATATTCTTCCAGAGGCTCAACAGCGGACGGTTTGTCACGTCGTGAATAAATAAACTGAGCAGCTAGAATATAAAAGGATTGAAAAATGCTGTAATATTGCCCATTTCCCATTAACTTTTTTTTTTACAAAAGTTAAAAGTAAAAATTAAAAATTCTGAACTACTACCTACAGTCATTTGCCCACATTCTATAATAATGGATGAAAACAGAAACTAAGACAAAACATATCATACCCCAAACCCTGTTCAAAAGTCCTTACTAACCATTCACTAGCCTCTTACAATCATCTTCTTTCTTTCCTCCTATCTCCAAAACCATTTCACTGGGCTTACTTTCTTTAGTTTTCAAATATTACCTTTCCTAATATCTCATTCTTGCCTACTACTCCATCTTCTCTGAAATTTTCTCCTCTTTGGTACAAATATTTTAAACCTCGTATCAAACTTGCTCATTTGCATAATTAAGAAAATAGTCAAAACTGACTAGGTTTATTTTCACTTTCAAAGAGCTGCTAATTTTGCCTGAACCCAAGAGCTGACCAAAATCATAGGTTTTAACTCTGAAACAACTTATTTTCAGTCATACACTGACACTGTGTATTAGTGTTGTATACCTAACTCCTGACTTTCAGACATAAGTCTGTGCTACTATGCAGTACTGGCAGTGTCATCACTCAATACATAACCAGGCATTATATATTTCATTAAGAGGTGAAAAGACAAAATGAAATATCAAAGTTCTAAATCATACTTGAGTATCATACATGAAATACAAGTGAGCAAAGGAGAAAATCATCATGCAGGCCCAAAGCATTCACTTTTCCATATCAACCAGATGACCAACAAACTCAATTCCTGGAGAATGTGTTCAATTGTGAAGGAATAAAATTAAAGAATAAGTTTAAGAAGGATAAAAATATCAATACAGTATTCTAAAGGCAAGGTGTTATCAGGGATTTCATATTAGTTAGCTTTCTGGAAGAGCACATAACATGGAAGTCTATTGCTTAGCGTTGCCACATTTGACTTTTGTGCATGTTTTCAGGAAGGCACTATCCATGAAAGTAAGGGAAGCTAACTACATTCAAAATTATAGACAATGCATATATAAACAATGGATAAAACTATGGCTTCCGCATAACACCTATACTCAAAAGGCCATGGCATAAGTGCTATCTATTCATAGTATAAATCACTGATGGCCTTACAGATTAGCAGGGAAGGTAAAAAAAAAAGAAAATGTAATGATATATTCTAAAAAGTCAAATGAGTAACACAGATGACAAGCACTGCAGAAGCACAGAAGATTTAAGTAATTACTAAAGATTGGAGCAGTTATAATTAGGAAGGCAAGAACATCAGAAAAACTGAAGAAGAGGTAGGAAATATCTTGACCCAGGGGAACAGAATAAGAGAAACACAAAGCAGTTGAGAGAATCCATTCTATTCTGCTATAATGCATGTTTCCTTAACACAAACTAGTTTCTACCAAATAATCAACAGGGGAATGATGAGGGTATAGCATTCAAGTTGCTTTGAGTGATGAGATTTTTTTCCCCCAACACTTTAATACTTCACATCATCAAATAATAGCTGCAAAGTCCAATAACACCAACGACAGAACATTATACTGTAACTGCAATTGTCCTGTAATGCCAGCCAGTCCCACATTCTTCCTCTTGGCTAAGTTCAGCTTCATGTGCTGTTTTGTGCATGCTTCTTGCTTGACTCTCCAAGACCTGTGAGCATTTTGTCTTTGCAACATCACTCATTGGTTTCAACTCTTCCTTACACCTCTATCAAGCTTTCACCTGTTTTGTTAAATGTAAAGTCCTATGTTTACTGGAATATATCTTTATTAGGAAGTTAGTGTAACTTTCTAAATGTGCAAGCATTTTATTAGATGATTATTGTTTTTTTTTTAAGTACTTTATAGGCTGAGTGGTCTGTCATGATCCTATTTTTTCCCAGAGGTTTTGTTATTTTTTAGTACACAATTTTGAAGGTCACAGGTTTTTCAAGAATGACATATTATGCTGTGTGTGTGTGTGTATTATTACATACACACACACACACACACACACATATATATATATATATATATATATCTCCCTATTCCCTCCCCCTCCTCAAGCAAGAAAAATATAATACTGCCATTATAAAATCAGCAATGGTTAAACAGCAGGAAAAACATTCGATTTCACAGATTTTCTAAGATGACCACTTTTTCCATTTCATTTTTTCGCAGAATGAGGGACAAGTCTTACAATCAAATGGCATCTTAGTATTATGTAATATTCAGACTGACAGCTGATTTTTTTAAGTGGTATATAAAATAATATGTCTTACAACCATGGCATCTTAGATACAATAAAATGTGGTAGTACTAAAAATTGTAAACAGGGCCATTTTCATCAACTAGTGCCTGATGATTTTCAAGTCACTGTCCTGCGGTAATAAACCATTCAGTTTAGCCTAAAAGCAACAAATATACTTTCCCCAACTTACAGCTCTGAACTCTGAGGAAAAACCTAAGACATATCAAAAATTAAGTAAGGCAAGAAATCACATACTTCTGCCAACGATTTTCACTGAAAAAATATTAACAGAGAAAAGGAAGTTCTCAAAGTCCAGGATTTCACTTTATATTCAAATACCCACTCTTCCTGGGGGCTTTTTCTACCCCGTCCCACACACAAATCCAACTCAGAAACCTGTACTGTGACCACTGTTTTGGAAGTAAATAATGGCTGGATTTGCCAGAGAGCGGGGAGGGAGGGTGGATAGAAAACTTCCCCAGGGAAAATCACTACTGGGGAAAAAAGAAATAGTCCAGATCTTTGAAGGTGAAATGAGAGCCCAAAAGGCCACAAATACGATCAAAAGAGTGCAAGAAAAGCAATGGGGAGAAGGATAAATATAAAATGCTCTTTTTTCCTAAAAATCTAAATCATAAATTTTGATGGAAACGCTCTCTGAAAAACTGGACACCCAGAGTGACTTTCAAAATTTAAAGCATTCTGACAAACATAAAAATTCAGAGAATTCAAAACCTGACTCTTGAAACTGCCTAATATTACTTCCTAAACATCTTAAAATAAAAATCATGTGAGACACTCAAAGATACGGGTTTCTAGACTTCTTTGCCTAGAGATTCTGGTCACGTGGTGCTAGAATGGGGCAGGGAATCTGTATTATTACAATCACTCCCAACTGATGGGCATCGTATCGTCAGTTAAGGTAGGAAACAGTAGCCTACAAGTCTCCTCTTTCGTCTGCCCCAGCTGTAGTCCACTTTGTATACCATCATCAGTTACCTTCCTAAAATACTACCCCCTTACTCAAGTAAGCTGACAGTAAGCTGACACTACACACTGAAAATTAAAAACTGCCTTCCACAGTTTGATTCTTATTTCCTTTCCTAGCCCTCTTTCCTGGTGCAACTGCATCAATCATGTGAATCTTCCTAAAGACACCTCACTTAGACACGACTGCTCAAGCACTGTTTCCTCCAGCTAGGAGGCCATTCTCATTCCCAGATGTACCAGTCCCAATCCTATCTCCTTCCAGAAGACTTTCCAGACTTCTTCAGGCAGGACTATCCCTCTACCCCCCCCAATACTGTTCCATACTGTTGTTTAAATGGAACTTTTAACAAGCTGCCTTATCACAAATTCATTTATAACTTAGTTACAATAGGGTTTTTCCAACGTGTTAACTGATGCTGAATAAAGGTTCTGAGTTGGAATGGACTGAATAAGGATAACTTTTGCTTAAGTAATCATACAAGGAGGCCATTAGACTGAAGTGGAAGCAAGGGGAAAGCCAACTCAGAGTCAATTTCTATAAATTCCTCAGAGTTAAGAACAACCAATCACAAAAAGCCACCTGGGCTCTTCCAAATAATGTAACAGTTTAAGCTATAGCCAATCAAATAATTTCCGTGCCTTGCTTCATGTCTTCTCTATAAAAACCTTGCCCCAGCTCCTGTCAGTGGAGTACTCCTAACCACTTCCAGTTTGGAGCTGCCTGATTCAAACTGATGTTTGCTCAGATAAACTCTTAAAAATTCAATATGCCTCAGTTTATCTTTGAAAACTTCTAATTAAATTAGTTAAAACAAAATTTATAACTGTTTAAATAAAGTTTTATACATAGGCTCTTTTTGCTACCCCCAGCTCCCTAATGTATATTCAATACTCAGTACCAAAGTTAATGTTTCTAAAGGGGAAAAAAAAAAAAGCTATAACATTAGGAATCACCTTTCCACCAGGAAAATTGTGCTTACTAGAGTTTCAAAAACATACATAGTGAATTTTAGAGAGAAATTCCTATTAGCTGATAAAGTTACTCAACTACCAGAATTCATTAGACCATGAATATAACACAACTCTTCAATGACATTTGCTGCTTCTTTAAGAACAGAAAGTATCCTTCTAAAACTATTCAGTTTTTAATTGAACATCACTTGGAAAAATATACCACTAAAGAGGAGAAGTAAGTTTCTGATCTGATGTGACTGCTTCTTTATACATGTTTTGGAAAAATTTAAAAATCTAAAACCACATGCTTTCGTTAAAAATACAAGTTTGTCACAGAAGAAACTCAAAACCATTAAACTAATTCCTGCTTTGATAAAGTGGGTTGACTTCCTGGTGTGTACAAAGGTAATTCTCAGAGTCAGACTGTCCTAAATATGAATCACACACAACACACATCAAGATATGTGAGAGACAAGGGATAAACTATGACCTTAAGGAAGGTAGGCCATAAAAGCTAATTTCAGAAAAACACCTTCAGAATGCCTGACTTTGTGTACCCTTAGCTCATTACTCAAGATTCAGCTTGATTTATTTAGATAAGCCTAGATAAATGAATGCATTAACCAGCAACATTAAAATGTCTTTCAGTTGTCCCTCTCTCTATGAAGGTTTCCTTGTACAGGCCACAGTTAACCAACTTCCAAGTCCAGTAGACTTTAGCTCCTGTAATCATCTCTTGAATCTATTTTCAAATCCAGTGCTATCACCCCTGTCCTAAACAAACAGTTCTCAAAGGAAACATCAGCAATACCCTGGTGGAGCTGTGACCCACCCTCAGAGTTTTTAACTCTGGGGTGGGGCCAAGAATTACTTTTCTAATAAATTCTAAAGTGATGCAAATGATACATGGACCACATTTTGAAAAGTCCTGAAATATCCTCATCTCCTCTAGATCATTAAAATAGTCTCCTAATCTATATACATCCACTTATGTACTACCTTCAATCCAGTCTCTGCTATGTATAAGACATTTTTTAAATTCAAACCTAATTATTACACCCACATCATCTTTTCAGTTTCATAAACAGGCCATGCTCTCTACTGCACTTACAATACAAGTGATGAAGTTAGTGCTACCAGACATCACTTTGTCCCCTAGTCAATTGATGATGATGAATTACAGGAGCCCAAAAAGGTTAACCCTTAATTTTTTTTTAACATGCTACAAATGACAAGTGCATGGAAGGTTCCTTGGGAAAAACCCCAATCCCTACAAAATACGGTCTTTTTGAATCTCTGAGTAACGAGCTTTAAAGGAATGCTGAGTGAGCCACCCCTCAGCTTCTAACCCAGCCTTCCTTTCTCTGCTTTGCAATGCTGGGGTTGAAGTCTCTGCAAAGCATATTTCTTCTTTGACAGCTGGCTCCCTTTTAGGATCAGCCACCAGGAAGATGCTAAAGGGAGACTGGAAGGCCGGAAGAGGAACACACATGTTCCTTTACCTTTTGCTTCCTGACTGGTTACCATCACCTCCACAACACTTCACCTTGTATAAATCGTCTGTACCAGTAACAGCAATGAATATCAGTTTGCAGTTTTTCCAAAACTTCCAGAACCAGCTTCAACCATGACCATCCAGTTAGCTAGAATTCCCTCTTCAAAAGGCTGAATCCCAACTTCAGTATCTCTTCAGAAACACCAGAACCAGCCATGCAGCGTCCTCTTTTTCAGAGGTCTGAGCCCCAACTCCACAGTCCCTCCTCTGAACTTCAACGGCATAGCAACAAAGCAGAACCCTCTCGTCACAGGTCTAAGTCCCAGCTCCAAGGAGCGCCTCCACAAGGTTCCGAAAGGTTGCATTCAACTTTGTCTACCTGTTCCCCTAGGAACCTGGGATGGTAAATGATAACAATGTAACATTAAAGGAAGAGAGGGAAGGCCCTGATTAGTTAGGCTAAATGAGGGAAGTCCACATAAAGAACCAGATGCATTTCAGAGTAATAAGTAACAGGAAAAAAGATGACAGGAGGAGTAGAGGTGCTAAGACAACTCCTAGAGCACCTACCTATGCCTTTAGAAAGAAAAAGAAATTCTAAAAAGTCAGAAGGGACATATGTGGTCTGCAAAGATTAAGAGGAGGCTTAAAGCAGGTGTAAGTATACAGCACAGCTCAGCGGACCATAATGTATTACAGACAAAGCAGACTTTGATGGAAATTTAAATTACTACACTGAACCTTTAAACTTGTGGAAATGAGTTTCATGAATTATATTTATTTTGTAGACAACTATATCTAACTGCACCTGTTTTTAAGGCATAGTAAAACTTAGCAGAGCATTTTAACTAACTGTTTATAGAATACGCTAAAATTTGAAGACAAATGTATTGTTAGGGAAATGAGAGGAAGATCTGGGTCAAAGACTCTGTTTTTTGCTGTAAAGAATACAGGAATGTTTTCTTGATATGATGACAAAGAAGATATCATTCAGTAGATGAGACAGAAGATGCAGCTCTAATACGGAATCCTACAGGAATTTGAACTCTAAATTACTCTGCAGCTCCATCAGAAGTCTGAACTGCATGTATTTCATTTATTTACCAAACTGTTTAACAGTAGATAAACTAAAGTACTGTATGAAGGGAAGTCTATGCATAATACTTCAATGTTTCCAATATCCAAGAAATTCAGGGGGACAAAAAATTAACTGCTGTCTGTCTTCAAAAGTTTTAGATTTTCATTACTGACTAAATTACCATTTGACTCAACTTAGATTAACTGCATGCTGCAAAAAATATTGGAAAACCATAGCTTTTAGACTTTTCTTCAAATTGTTTAAAGCTAAATGATGGAATTAAAACTGTACATTCTATTCATAAGTAAGGAAATTATTTTACATACCTTTAAAAGTTAACATATAAGAATCTTTCTAAATAGTACATAATATTATAGCCTTCTGGAACACTCCTAGAATGACAATAACACTTAACATCTTTAAATCCCCAAATAAAATCAAATTATTTTTAAAAATTTACCTGTTGATGGCGAAATACAATAATCATCCTCTACAGACTGGCCATAGAAATCATCATCTTCAAAATCTAAAATAAAAATACAAGAGATACATTCATTTACAAGTTCTTTTCATATTCTCAGTTATTAATGAGGAAGCTTCTGAATTCTCTCCAAAATAAACTGTTCATCTAAATGAAAGGAACTTGGAATGTCCACTTTTCAAAAAAATTCTAAAAATTCTACACAAAATTGATATGCACTGACTTTCTATAAAGATATACATGTTCTTAGGTTTTTAAGCTAATTGAGTTTTATGAAGTTTTTCCAAGTTTTTACTTCATGTGATCATAGAATAATCCTATAGACCAAGTGCTTGTCTTTCCAGGATTGACAAAAATCTGAAATAAGCCATCCACCCATTTTTTTTCACCAAGTGCCTTCTATAACCAAAGCACTTATTTTCTATACAACTGACTAGTGGAGGGTATACAATTAGACCATGAAAGCAGTTTTTCTTCATGTAGAGCTAGGTAATGTACAAAAACCAGCTTATCCTAAACTTCCCTCACTCTAGCTAATTGGCCTTTTTTCCTACTGACTAGAATATCCTCTGTGTCTAGATTTTCCTAAGGCTGTTTCCTTCTCCTGGTTAAGGTTTCAGCACAGAACGTTATCTATTTGCAGAAGCCTTCCCTGACGCCTCGGGGTACAGCAGCAGCCTCACTGCCACTTTAACTCCCCAGCACAATTCCTGCAACTGAATGTCTTCAAATCACCATAGCTGGTTGACTCCATGAGACTATAAGCTCCTTCAGGGCAAGACTGTCTAGCCAACTACCTGACACATGTTTGGCATAAATCAATATTTATTTTACTGTAAGTTAATGAATCAAACAAACTACAACTAAAAATCCACAAGGAATATAAGTATGTTTACATAAATGCATTTTATTCATTCAACAAATACTAAGACTATGCCAGGGACTATAAAAGACATTTGGGGTACAAGACTGAGTGACAGGCATATTCCTAGATCTCTACAAACCTAAAATCTAACACGGAACACAGACAAGAAAATGGGCAATAACAAAAGCATACGACAAGTGCTTGAGACAGGAGAAATACAGAATGACTAGGGAACACACATACAAACAACAAAAACAGAATTAAGAGTGGGGTGGCTAGGGAAAGATACCCAGGAATATAATATTTAAACCAATTCCAAAGGATAGTTCACTGATTTCTGAGGGTATTCATGTAGCAGTAGCAGAAACAGCATGTTCAAAGGCTGAAATCAAATATTTACGGCAAAGAAAAATTAGATACATGCTACTATTGGATAAAAATGTGTAACATTCAATAAATTAATGCTCAATCCCGAGTTAATAAAAATGTATTAGCAAACAAAAGAGACACCATTCACAAAAAAAAAATGTATTTAGACATTAAAAGCAACAGGAATTTTCATACTAGGTCAGTTTTTCAATACTAAAATTGACCCTAAAAGTGCCACAATATCAAAAGATAAAGAGAATTCTTTCCTGGGATTTTTGTAAAGCAGTTCTTTTCCCCCATAATATTTGGGGTATTTACTGTACAGAAAGCATTGTGCTGGCTACTGGAAAAAATAAAAAAATTAAGTATGGGCTTTGCCCTCCTCGCACTTTTATTAATTAGCAGGTAAAATAGTCATGTAAAATACTACCCAAATTACAGAGAAGAACAAAATGAGAGTTAAGAGAAGGAACCAATAGGTTGCGGAGCGCTAAATCTCTGAAATGTAGTTATACTTCTTTTGGGAATTTTTAAATTATTATCTGAGAAAAAGGAAAGTTTAACTAGGAAGAAGAGAAATAAACTGGACACTTAAAATAAGTAGAACCCATATAAGCAAGAATAGGGGATGAACTTATGCTATAGAAACAGCCTGGTTATGATGTCATCAGCTATTCCAAAGAAACTTGACACCCTGACAGCCTGATTGGAGTTGCCAAGGTGAGAAGATATTTAGTACTTACTCCATCAAGCCAAGCACCTCTTCTTCAGGATGCCTTCCTTTACATAGAAATCCTGCTTAAACTCATTCTGAACAGTGTCCTCACTTAAGTAGCTCTCATAGCACTTTGTGAGCACTTTTGGTAGCATTTCATCATCTTCTGCTACTGTGTATCTCCATCTTTAGACTCCCTCAAACCCCTCACTGTTGGTCCCCAAAGCTCAAACAGTTCTCTAAGCACTCAATTGATGTTGATCGATGAAATGATAAATTTGTATTGAAGAAGTGAATAAGCAGTAATTTGGCCCACTCATGTCTTTTACATCATATTCGCAAAAATATCTCCCAGGCTAAAGTTATTACTCTGGTAATAGTGATCCACATGCAATACCAACATCCACTGCAATATTTAAAAAGTTCTCCATTCTGAAGGCAACACCAGGAACCTAACATGTGCCAGGCTGACTGGATCACACTCACTAAATGTAGCAAAAGGTGTTAGCTGCCCTCCACTATGATTACAGCATACTGATGTTGTAGAATAATCTGCTGGGAGTGCCAATAACAACCACCAATATAATAAACAAGCTTCATGCTCTATACTTTACAAAGTGATAGTGACAGGTCTTTATACTTCTGCACTCATTCACATTTGTTTATAGTTTTAGTTTGTATGATGCTTGGTGATTGATGCCTATAAGTAACCACTGCATAGAGATGTTGTGCTTGGTCTAAATGTAAACTAGACAACATTCACATTTTTTTCTTTTATATCATCTTTAAATTCAGTAAGTCCTTTTCGAAACCCACTTTTTTCCAATACTGCTTTTTTTCCCCAAAAAATACATTTATGTTGAGCATGATCAACCAAGAACTGAGTATTCACCTCAAGATCATATAATCAACTTACTTTTGGGGTCTTTTTAATATGTATCTTTTCTACCATCGCCTAAGTTTCCAATTTAACTTTAAAAGTATAGAAAATAAAGCAGCCAACTCAAGCCAGGTTTTGCACTAAATATGTATGAACAAACACACAAGATTTACCATGTAAATCTAAAGTTACATCAAAACAGCTGAATGTAAGCTTTAAGGCAATCCGTGTTTTACAAATAAGAACGCTTCACGGGCATTTTTAAAAGGCGGGTCGAGGAGAGGAGCGAAGCTCGAATTAGGAAAGTGTGTAGCCGACCTGGGAGAAAACAATGGGAGAGGTGATATGCTTACGTGCGTAAGTATCACCGGATCCCAACCTCGTCAAACGTCCTTCCCATATGACGTCCTGCAGCACCTCCCCTGCCCTAAATAAAATCAATCCTAGAGGGTAAAAATTACGAGTTAACGCCATTAGCTAGTACCCAAACGTCCTGTTATTTTCTCCAGATGAGCCTCCTCTGAACTCCAGCCTGGCACGACTGACGAGAAACTAACATATCGAAGTGGGTGCCAAACCGCTGCGATCCCGGCTGGAACGGTGAAAATGACGTCCCGGAACGACCCTGACACCTACCTTCATCGTAGTTATAGCCTCGGACATTCCGATGCCGGGCCATTACGGCGGAAAGGGCGTTCGGCACGGCCCCTTACAAAATACCCGCTCAGATATTGATAAGGCGCCAACTGCGGCCTGGAGAACACCTATACGCCATCTTGGCTTCCGGCAGGCCTCGGCGCTGAGCTCCTGCGCATGAGCGACGTCTTATCTGAGTACGGCAACCTCTCAGGGTCATACAACATCATCTCAGGGTCATCCGCCTCCCTGAGGACGCATGCGCAATCATGCTCATGGGTGGGTACGTTTCGGCTTGGCCCTGCCCACGAACAGGTTGACTGACGGGGCTTTCGAAGTAGCGGAATCAAGCTATTTATAGTTTGTTGGTTTGGGGCAAATATTACGAGTAGGGATCCTTGACCTCTACCTCCGTTCCAGATTATTTTCCAAATCTGATTTCTCATAATCTAGTGAAAAAGCTCACTGTGTGCTGAGAAAGAGGAGGAACCTTGTTTAATACAACTTTTCGTCTTTGGGACCTACGCTAGGCACTAACAGGCATTAATAACCTTGAATGCATTTGGTATAAGAATTAGCCGGAGCTTTAGAAGGGGAAAAGGACTCTTTTTAAACGGATTTAGTTCAGTTGAGAACCTGGCTACAATAGGTCACCATGCATTTGTGCCTCTAGTTCATGTTATGTATGTGCTCCATCCTGCATTGATACCTCTAGTAAACAGCTATCTGCCCTTAGCCATGTAAATGATCAGCAGCAGCATCATAAAGAAGGATTCATTGAGCATTCACTGAACACATAATCATGTGTAACGTGCTGAGTATTGAATATTGCTTTGCTTCTTAGACACAGCAATGACCTTAAATGTTGATAAATGTTATTAATGAATAAATCTATAACCTATTACTAAATGTCATTTCTTTGATCACAAAGTGAATGGTGCTATGTAAAAAACCAACCTTCTTATTATACTGAACAAACTACACTTCAGTTATAGTTTATGTTTTTTGAAGTGACAATTTACATCAAATTCTAGAAATAAATTAAAAGTTTACTTGGCTTTCTATTATCCATAATGGAAAGAAATAATAATACAAATTCAATTCATATTTGTAAGTGGCTTGGAATGTAATTTGTACACGTTTGTGTCTGACTACCAAATGTTTGTTCTCATTGCTGTTCACTGTAACTGTAAGACAAAATTTTATGTAAAAATAGCTGCTAATTTTGTATGGCTTAAGTGTTTTCTTTATTTTACACTTTTAGGTAATGTCTATATTGTAGCCTGTCTTCTGGAAAGTGGAGATAGTGATAGTATCTAACTCATAGAGGAGTGAATAATAAAAGGATTTTACACAGACAAGACAACTGGTTTGGTCTATGGGTTGTAAGTTGTGGGGACGTGACTAGGAAAAGTATGCTGGAGACAAGAGGACAAAGGAAGGGCTGTAAAACCAGTGCAAGATAAGAGATATTTCAGTAAGTTTGTACAGATCCATTTCAGCATCAATTCCCAGTACTCTTGGCAGCTACTTAAATACTCAGGCGTTTTGGCAAATACGTTATGGTGGCTTCTGCACTCTATAATTCCTAAAGAGAAATAAAGGAATTGATTTTAATCATTAAGAAAGGAAGAGAGGAAGAGAGGGTGGATGGTTGTAATTGTGACATTAGACACAGCATTTAAGAAAAGTTCTAGAGTTTTCTAATTAAATTATAGGAAAGCATGGCCTATACTCCAAACTATAAAATGACATAGGTGAGTATAAGGATCCTCTTATGGTCCTTTGCAGTTCTGTGATTATGATTACACATTAATAATGTAAATCTACTCATCTTTTTGGGGTTTGCGGGGGAGGGATATTTAGGTTTATTTATTTATTTAATGAAGATACTGGGTATTGAACCCAGGATCTTATGCATGCTAGGCATGCACTCTGCCACTGAGCTATACCCTCCTCCTATTCATCTTGATTATTATCATCAAATATCTGTAAAATCTATAAACAGGTGACTTAATTTTCCTCCTGATCTTCTATATTAGTCATGTAACCCTCTGTCTGAGCTATTGATATTCTTACTCTCCTCTGTGGAATTTCCCCTGACTTCCCTCCCATCTTTCTTTCTTCCTTCTTTTCTCTTCTTTTCTTTCTTTTTCTTTCTTTCTTCCTTCCTTCCTTTTTCTTTCTTTCTTTCTTTCTTTCTTTCTTTCTTTCTTTCTTTCTTTCTTTCCTTCCTTCCTTCTCTCTCTCTCTTTTTTAAAGGTATACATTTAACTGAGTGAAAATTGGCAAGATCCAGTGAATAGTTTCCTCATCAAGGCAAAGCTTTGCCCCTAAAAAGCTTGAGGCCATCCAAGGATTCCGTGTTTGACAGAAGCATTGACAGTGTAACTAAACAAACAAGAAGGTGTTCAGGGAAGCTGAATCACATCTTCAAAGAAATTCAGTAGGTGATTTTTTTTAATTTCTGTGTGGTATTATAGAGCTTAATGCAGAACATATCAAAACTTTGAAAAGCAAAGGTGGAGTCATGAACTTTATAAGGCAGAATAATTTCCTACAAGAATAAAATAGAAGTCAAAGTGTTCTATATTTAGATATGAACTACATTCAATGGGGAATACCAGCAAAACAATAATGCCCGGGCAAAACCTGCTTCCTACATAGGTAGGTTTTTTTCAACTACCAATCCTGGGCTATCTGACTGTCAAGCACTTTGTCATGAAATACAATAATAAATATGGTTCAAGAGTTCTTTATAAGATTAACTTTTTCGAGGTTCATGTTGTTCTAAGTGTTCTAGAAATAACTAATCCTCCAATTTAAAATCTTTCAATGGAGCCACATTACTTACAAAATAAGTTTAAATCCTTAGAAAGACATCGGCATCCTTTGTGATTTCACTGCTGCCTGGTTTTGTACCTTACCTGCCACCACTGCACCGCCCTACCTGAGGCACTGTATGTCATAGTTCCTACTTTTAGGATTTCATGCTTTTTCTGCCCTAGGACATTTGCACATGTTATTCCTTCTGCCTAGAACACCCTTCAAAGTTCATGCCCTCTTATATTACTCAGGAGATCCCTAGTAGCATCACACATTTTGTGATATCTTCCATGACTCTGACAGAACAAGTACCCCTACTCTGGACACTCAAAGTTCTGTCTGGCTGTCTTTGCTATAACACATATTAATAATATTCTAATTCTCTATGTTTGTATCTATCCTTCTCCATCTCCCCAACTAGATACAAATTCCTCAAAAGCAGGACATCCTTTACCTAATTTTGTATCTCCAGCATCCATTATAGTGGCTAGTACAAAACTGGAATAGATAAAATACATTTTGTTGAGTAATTGTTGAATAAATTTATAACATATAAAATAAATATATTTGCAATGTAGAAGAATTTCATAACTTTGGAGACATATACCAATAGGATTTTGGAAAGAGAAACTTTAAGGAATGAGAAAGGAGAGTGGATAATTTGGAAATATAGGCTGAGGGTAGAAATTTCTAGATTACAAGTCTTTTCTTGTATATACTCAAAAGAAATGAAACACCTGTTCACACAAAAAGTTGTTCACATTTTTATATTATTCACGGTTGTCAAAAGATAGGCACAACTGTAATGTCCGTTAACTGATAAATGGATTTAAAAATATATATATACATGCACCCCAATGTTCCTAGCAGCACTATTTACAATAGCCAAGACATGGAAGCAACCTAAATATTCATCAATGGTTGAATGGATAAAGAAAATGTGATATAGCTATTTAATGGAGTATTATTCAGCCATAAAAAAGAATGAAATCTTGCCATTTGTGATGTGGATGGATTTTGAGGGCATTATGCTAAGTGGAATAAATCAGATAGAGAAAGACAAATGCTGTATTATCTCACTTATATGTGGAACTTTTTTTTAAAAAAAGCTAATAGATAAAGAGAACAGATTGATTGGGGGTGGGAGGGAACAGGGTGGAATGGGTGAAGGTACAAACTTCCAGTTATGAAATAAATAACTCCTGGGGATGTAATGTACAGCACGGCAACTACAGTTAATAATACTGTATCATATATTTGGAAGTTGCTGAAAGTTCTCATTAAAAGGAAAGAAATTTTGTAATTATGTATAGTGACAAATGTTAACTAGACTTAGTGTGGTGATCATTTTGCAAATATGCAAATATTGAATAGTTACATTGTACACCTGAAACTAACATACTGCTATATAATATAGGTTCCTTTAGCTGCCTTCCATACACTGGTTCTCTATACAATCAGTGACATTGATCTAGCTAGTATTCAGTTTTAACAAATCACATTGGATATACTTTGAAATGCATGATAAATGATTGATTTCTTTTTGCTGCAGCTGAAAGTTGTTTAATCTGTAGTGGTTATGGACTCTTGAGCAAGTAACTTGCTTTCTGTGGACCCTAATTTCCCACAAATATATAAGGGGTTCATACAAGATTATCTCTGGGGTATTTTTTTTGTTTTCTCATTTTTTATTAAAGGTTATTGCAAGATATTGAACATAGTTGTAGTATTTTATGTATTTATTTGTTTGTTTATTTCCCATCACACCCAATCCTTTTTTTCACTCCACGCCTACAACTTTTTTTAGACAACTTCAAGATTTTTATAAAAATTTATTCCACAATGATTATTCTGTTAGTACTCAAACATTTTATATGAAATTATTTTGTAGTTATATTTGATAGTCAATATGTATACTTCATTGCCTCTTAACAGGGATGATGCCTTTAATTAGACCTGTAGAATTCCACCATAAAGCATAAATGCATTTGACAGTTACATGTTGAAAGAATGTTGAAAATGCCAACAAATCACAATTTGAAGTAAATTTTCAAACAACAAGTTTAAACTGTATAGCACAGGGAACTATATTTAATATCTTGTAGTAACTTATGGTGAAAGGAAATATGAAAACAAATATATGTATATTCCTATATGACTGAAGCACTGTGCTGTACACCAGAAATTGACACAACATTGTAAACTGACTATACCTCAATAAATATATACATATATTATACACACACACACATATATATATAATAAAGTAGGCTTTCAAGAAATCTGAACTCACCAAACTATAAATTCATATTTGTAATTCATGATGCCAGACACACAGTAGACTTTTAAAAATTTTTTTTAAATTTTACACAAATAGAAAGATTGAAT